TGGTCTGGGAGTACAATCAGGCTTCGGCAAATCCTTTAGTCAGTACTTACAAGCTGTATAACTTTGTGAAAGGTGGCTGATTTATTTTTATGTTACAGAAAGCTCCAATCTTAGAGTAATGTAGAAAATAAGATACAGTCAAGTTGATAAATTAATTGTGGCTACTATAACCACACTGTGTTATAAAGACTCCGTGAAGATAACATAAGGAAGCTTAAACATTGCCTGGGACACAGCAGGAAGCTTTTCTATTAAGGTCATGTGTCGGCATCAGTACAAATGACATTCATATACTGTACTGTAGAGCACTTTTTCAAAAACAGTCCAATCCACAGAGGCTTGAAGGCATTTGTGCATCCATCTAAAAGTCAATAATAGGATGGATAGATCCATTTCTGATGGTGAGAAACTAAAATAATGATGATGGCCCCTTTGGTATAGCCATGCCAAGTTCAGTTAAAGTTATTACACAGGGTTATCATGCTATTGCTTCTGCCAACTTGGATAGGAGCAAAACACTTTGAAAGTATCGTCTGTAATCCTTGGTTAAAGTGTAGGGGAACGTATATAGATAGATTTAAGACTCACTGAAGAAATGGGATCTGAATTCCTCCTTGTTTTCTGAACCTTACCATCTTCTGCTAAGAAAATCAGATCCCAAATATCTTATCTTTCAAAAATGGATCCAGCACTGACAATCAGTCACAGTAAAACCACGTCCCCAAGCACCTCAACCTCTCCACAGCACCAGGCATATGGTTTATAGAGTCTTGTGTTCATTGAATGCCCCCATGAAAAGCAGTTTGAGCTATTGTTTGTTAATCACAAATATATTTCATACATCATTTACATTTATAACAAACCTGTCATAATAAGTTAAATAATGACCAAAGTGGATGATAGATATTGGGATGTAGGAAAAAAAATGTTCAAATGGGAAGGAGAGCAAGGGATGGGGAGGAGAGAAAGGAGAAAGATAATAGAAGGGAAATGAAAACAAAGTTTTTTAAATAAGGAAGGGAAGAAGTGTTGAAGGGAGCAAAGGTGAACGGGAAAAAGAAGAATCAAGATATATTATGTACAAGTACAAATTCCTTACAATGAGTGTGATTGCTATGTATATCAAAAGTGTATCAATAAAATTAATTTGAAAAATAAAAATAAAATTTAAAAACATTCCAAAAATAAGTTAAATAAAACCACATATACATATTCATATGACATAAATGCTATTTATTAAGCAGGCATTTACATTATAATGAAAACATACCGGGCTAATTATATAAAAGAGCAAAGGATGTTAGAATATATAAAAACTCTCTACAAAACTTTAAGTATAAATTTGTTATTGAATAAATGAATAAATGTACAGCTATATTAGTGGTATTTCCCATGTCACCTTTTCTTGACTAAGAGAGATTAAACTGTCATTCAGTAGATTTTCAGAGCATGTACGTGCTGATATATGCATAGGGACAAAGTACATTCAACTTACCAAATCCCTGGCTCCAAAAGTTAAGTTAGAATTCTAGTTTATTTTCACAAATGCATACTCTAAACTTTGGGTTTTAAGACTGCCCACTGAACCATGTTTAATCCACTTGTAGTTGAACTATGGCAGCAAGGTGTTTATGAGATCGAAGCATCATTTAAAATATTGCTGCTCACGGGTGAGCACTGCGCAAATTCAACAGGCCAGGAATGGATCGCTCCTCTAAGACCCACTTTCCTGAGATTTTCTGCTGGATTTTCTTTCCCTGTACCCCGCTTCCAGCTTTGGCTACCAGCACACCTAAGAACTACTTGTTAAATACTACAAACACCAAGGCCAGTGCTGTCTGCTCTTTTGCTCTAACGGCACGTTTGGAAGCAGTCTGCACAAGCAGGAAACTCTTGCCAAGAGCAGCAAATGAAGAAGGGTAGAGAATGACACCGGTCATAGCCAATGGCGAGGTGGGAATAAATAATGCCAGTTCCAGCAGAAATGAGCCCCATCCCACTGCCATAGGCAACTTCAGGATCACAGTCATCCTTGAGTGAGGCATTTGTATTTTGAATCTCCCTATCTTGTTTTGTGAGTGGAGCTACGAATGAGCAGCCATAGCTAGTGGCTGAAGTGTACCTATATGTAGCACGTCGACCCGTCACCCTCAGCTTGAATGCCCCTCACATATTTCCTTGCAGCACAAGCCACCATCGTCCCTTGTCTGGAGCATTGCTGTCGTTCCCTAGTGGTCTCCCTTCTTCTATTCTTGCCAACCCCACTTTTCCATGCACATTTTCCACCCCATACATCATGTACAACTAAGCAGCCTGGGTGAACTTTCTAAGCCACAAATCCAATCACGTCATATCCTGTTGGAGTACTCCAGTGGTTTGCAGTTATTCTTGGAGTAAAATTCAAATCATCAAGTGGGAACTTCACCCCCCATACACACACCTAGTGCCCGTGACTTTATTTCCTACTGCTTTATCTATTTAGGTCACAATCTTCTTGAAGTTCTTATTTCTGGGGTATTTATACATATCGATCCCTCTACTGGAATGTTCTTCAACAAAACCCTACAGCTCATCATCCTAGTTTTTGTTCAAATGTTACTTCTTTCTAATCATCCAGTCTAAAAGGCCCTTCCCCATTGCTCTCTCACTCCTCCAACTTTATTTTCTTCAGAGCATTTAATAGATGATACAATATTCTTAGTCTACTTGTCTGTTCATTCCATACAAAAGCAATCTTATCTGTCATTTTCTATTTCTTGACATGATCTAAAATAAACTACTCTTTCCCAGAATTTCTTCATATAAATAATTTTGTTTCTAGGATAATTCTTATTCTCTCCTGTCCCCAACATCCTCCACATACATAGCTGTAATAACATGCTCCCTGTGCTCAGGTGATACTACAACTGCACACAGTTGTTTTCTATTTGTTGGAATCGTGAGGGAAATTCTATAGCAGTCATTCTGTAAGAAGTTATCCCAAGTTTTTTGCAGAGAGGAGGAGATGAGCAGCAACATGACCTCACCAAGCTTTCAAGGGTTATTCCTTCCCTACAGGGGGCATCAGACACTCACAGGCTTCTAAAGTGCTTATTTCACTTTTCCACTGGCTGGCCACACAGCCAGGCAAGAGAGCCCTAAAGCTGTACTCCAACAGCGGTAGCTACTCCAGAGTCTCCACAGCCCTTGATGGTAACATCCCGGAAGAGGTCAATGCTGAGACACCTGGAAATCATCCTCATAAACCCTCTGTGGGATGAGGATGATTTGTACAACCCCAGGCATCACTAGGATTGTTGCCCACATTTGTGGTTGAGAACACAGGCTCTGGAGCTTGACAGCCTGGGTCCAATTTTCCGCTTTGCCACCACTGGCTATATGACCTTGGGAAATTAGTTATCCTCACCAGTACTGAATATTCTGCAATAGAAAGAACTGAGTCCTATAGAAATTTCTTTTCAAAAGATTGAGTGTTCATCTTTGATTGGTCTGTATATATTTTCCTACTCTGAAAAATAACAGTAGTAATAGTAACTATCCCAGGGTTGTGATACGGGTTAAATGAGTTCATTAATAAACACAAAACTCTAGCTATCAACATTTATGCTTTCTCAGTAAAATCTTTTGTCTGCATATAAATGAGAAACTTCTTGAGATTGACAATGTATTTAAATGCACATATGATCGATGAAATTCTTGGAAAAGGGTATATCTTAGAGCAACTCAATATATATATATATATATATATATATATATATATATAGAGAGAGAGAGAGAGAGAGAGAGAGAGGTCTCAGAGTTCCTCAAACTGTGATGATCTTTAAAATGAGAGAAGGACAGGGATGTCCAAGCAGCTAGTACAAGAAAGGAACCACTGTTAATCCTCATACTTAAATTTAACAGGCAGCCCACTTTTCAATGAGGTCAGTGACATAAAAATTTGAAAGTAAGCTTTTGAATAGCAATTTGGTTTTGGCATTTCCACAGGACTTGAGCTCCCCTGTTGCAGAAAACTTAGTGGCAAACAGCTAATCATCCAATATTTTTAACACACTACTGCACACTAAATCACCTGGGAAATGAAAGAACTGTAAGACGTAAAGCTTTGCCTCCAAGAACTGACAAAATCATTTTATAATGCTTTCAGTATTAATCTAAGACAGGAAGGGCTTTTACCTTGGAATTGTATGCCCTTTGTAGCCAAGTAAAATGGAGATAATTTTGCCTGTGGATAGTTCTTCTATCACAGAGCATTCCTATGTATTGCTTGCATTTTGTATTATAAACACTAAAATCATTAGGTAGGGCTACAGGTATTAAAATTTCCAAAGCATAGTTTAATTTCCACCCATGCCCTCCCAAATTTAGGCATATCACTTTATAGTGCATTAAAGGCTCTGTAAGACTAATATGAATTTTTCTGCACTTTCATATTTTAATAGGCAATAAGTCACAGGACCAAAATTATTAACATCTAACATGAGACAGAACACATAATTATCACAATTCATGCTTTTACCAAAATATCAAACTCTCAAAGAATAAACTTTGTATAAACAATTGTCTGGGATCCATCTGAAGACCAGTATTGTGAACATTCTCAAAAGCCTTTCCTTTGAGATACAATCATAGTAACAATTCCAAAATGCTTTGCTAACTCAGCCTTGATATTATTCACTTCATTCTACAATATTCCATTGCCTTACGACTCTTCCATGCATTATACAATGATAATTGCTTACCCCTCACCAGTATCATAAGGAAGTAAGTTTCTAACTCCTGCCACTTCACATCATTAAAACATGACTACACTAATGAAATAAACAGGAAAAGAAATCCAAGTGTGTGCTGGGGGGAGTGCTGCTTTAAATAAACATTCCAAGCTAAATCTCCCTGAAACAGAACCAGTAGTATCTGGAAATCATACATCACAATAATTTCAATTCATTTCAAAGTGGAAACACTTAAGTAAGAAAACTCTGTCACTCTCAGTGGCTTACCTCATCATCCTTATACCAGGACAAGCTTTCTGCAGTGAGGACGAACCAGTACCCCTTCGAGCCTCCTTTCATGATGCCAATGTTGCTGATGGTCAGCCATCCCTTACGAATGACCTGCAAGAGAGCAGACACACCAGCACAAGCACTTAGTTTAATACAAGCCAGTGGAAATATAAGACCTTTGACTAAGTAAAGTTAAAAACAAGATTGCAATGAGAACAGCACTGTCCCCACCACTACCACCAAAGCTCAACTCCTACTGAGCTATCCCAGGGAATTTATCTTCCAAAAGTGCAGGCGACCAGAGGGAAGTCTCTTCCATCAGGGAACAAAATAAAAATTTCTTGGACTCATATAGATGGCAGAAGTAAAGTGACTGAAATAGACAGGAATGAAATGAGGCAGCCTAACAGGCTTGTGCCAGGCCTATTTATGGCATTGACGCTACAATTAAAACATATTTAGTTGATTGGATGAACAATAGACTCTCCATGCACACTGCCTCCTCTCTCCTTCCAGCCTACTGGCTCATTTGTCTGCCTGGTTTGCAGCTCATTAGGATTTACAGCGGGGACTGGACAGCAAATGGTGAAAAGCAGAAACTCCAGCCAACCAATTAGCTCCTTGTTAACAGCCATGAATAGGGTTGATTGAGGGAGAAAGCTGAAATAATAAACTAAAATGGAAAGTGTGGGGCTTTTGAATGGCTTTGATTTATCCATCTACTTCTGGTTATTATTTGCTATGCACAAACCATGTAGCATCTTTATATGAAAATCTTTAAACAGTTTTCATACACTGAACCATTAACAAGTTGGACAAAACATTTGATGAAATTATTTAGAAGAGGGATTTAAGGATAAATGCATTGTCCCCTGACAGTCATTGCAAAGTTATATTGTTTTCCACGTGGCATAGTTTACTATATTCTGGAAGCTAGATAATTCTGTTGTTGTAGAACCAGAAATGCAATTCTATATGGAATTATATGATATTTTCCTAAATGTCATCAGACACACAAGCTAAAATATTGCAGGGTTTCTCTTATATGAGAAACCCAAAGAATAAATAAGTTAAAGAGCTAAATGTCAATAATTGTTCTATACCAAAGTCATTTAACATCTTCGAGATCCTGAAATGTTAAAAAGTATTTATTGTAAGATTGAATATCAGTTCCTAAAGGGAGATGAAAATACTGTAATAATTAATTTTATTTGTACATTACTGCTTTCTAGTTGAAGCAAGAAATCCAGTCCTAGAGAAAATTATGAAATCAACCAAGGTTCTCCTTGCTGGTCTTTTTTTTTGGGGGGGGGTGTTTCACCGGTACTGGGAACCAAACTCATGACCTTGCGCTTGCCAGGCAGGCGCTTTGCCACTGAGCTAAATCCCCAGCCCCTCCTTGCTGGTCTTCCAAACATCTCACCACACTCGCTAAGCCTAGCCACCCTGTTTCAGCACCTCCTGGGAGCCAATTCTCCCTTCTAGTTCACTGTTGCATTTATAAATCTACTTAGAGTACTTCTTTCAGGTCAGACTAAAGCTGATTTCCCCACTGATCAAAATTACCCCTTCCTACTCTCTACTTCAGAAAAAAGAAAACAATACATCCCAGAGTATAGTTTCTACCAGCTATATTATAATCATTGGATGTTTTCTAAAAATGTAAATTTCTGAGCCAGCTACCACTCTGAATGAATTAGAATATGAAAACTGGGAATCTACACTTCAACATATTCCCAAGGTAACTCTTATTGATGTGGAAGTTGAAAAAGCCTTTCATGTACACATCCAATACATAAAATCATAACTTCAATTTCTCTAGAGCCAATGAAGACATGTAGTCTTCAGTAAGAAGAACAGTTAAATTATTTCACACCAATGTTATTACTATCCTCCCAGGGCTTAAAATAACTTACTATTCATAGTACTCAAGGGAAGTATATTAATTAATTAATAGCATTTTATTAGTCATCCTTAGACACAGAAGAAATCTTCTAGATATTCCACAAATTACAAGAAGAACATTACCATTTTGCTATTGTAGAACGAGCTGGCTCTGTCAAGAGAAACCATGAATTTAGCCCATTCCTTCTGAAACTACCATATTTCAAAACGAACAAAAAGGATTTTGATGCCACAATCCATGCTCTCAAGAATCCTACAATTGAGAGGGAAGGCAAACCCATGAAGACATAATTTCAATGCAGTCATATAGTAAGAGATATATGCCAACACGGATGCAGTCCACAAAACTCAGGATGTTGGAATAGACTCCACTTGAGAAGATGACACCTCAGAAGACCTGGAAGGGGACTAGAGTTAGCCAAGTCAAGTAGTGTGTTTGCTTCCCACAGAGAAGGCTAAACAAGAACCATGCAGAGAACAGTCACTTAGTACAGAAAATGAGACTTGGGGATGAAAATATGGAGGCTGAATAAGGGGATGGGATGACACTGGAGCGGATTCAGTTCAGTGAGACCTGGATCTCACTGATCTCAACCCCTAGGAAGTACCAGAATAAATTTCAGGTCCACATCCCTAATACATGTATGTTTATTTTAAAATTCTATGTATGATTATTGTACTCATAAATTGTGTGTATGACACTAAAATACCTGGAGAGAAATTTGAAAACAGAGTATGACAGTGAAATAAATCAGTAATGTTTTTAACATTTTAGACACATTTTTTTGTTGTTTGTTTGTTTTTTCCGGTACCAGGAGTCAAACTCACGACCTTGAGCTTGCCAGGCAGGCGCTGTGCTGCTGAGCTAAATCCCCAGCCCCTGTTTTTAACATTTAAAGACTCTGTGGGGGATACAAATTGTGCTGCATCTATTATTTCATTATGAACCTCCTGGGCACCAGGGCGCTGGTATCAATGTGTATATTGACAAATCTGAGGTGTTCTCTTAATTTCTGTCTTGCTACATCCCCTTGTAGTTAGGTGGGTTTTGCAAGTTCCCTGGGTCACAGAAACTTGGTCCTATAAGCTGCTCTTATAACCCAAGTGAGAAATGTCCAATGTGTGAACTGAAGCCACAATATATAAGATTTTTAAAAATGAGTGTACTGGAGAAATACCAGGGAACAAAGTGAACAGAACTTACCACATGAGGAAAGGGGAGCTGGTGAAGGGAAAGACTCTGGAACTAGCAGAGGGGCTAAGAGATAAACCTGGTTTCTAGGCCCCAAGGACAAGTTCCAGTGGATATCTACAATACTAAGGACACAGTGGATCTGAAAATTTAATATAAAAAATAAAATATTTGATTAATTTTTTTAAATTATTATATATAACAGTGATACTATTTTGCACTGACTGTTATAAACAAAATCTATTTTTAAAAGTAAATTCATGTAATTTGTCTTTTTGAGACAGGGTCTCCCTATGCAGTTCAGGCTGACCTTGAGCTCACCTTGTTGAGCAGGCTGGTCTCAAACTTGCAATGATCCTCCTGCCTCAGCCTCCCAAGGGCTGGGATTATAAGAGTGTGCCACCATACCCAGTTCACTTGCTTTATTTCTTTTAATGTGGCTACTAAAAAATTTTACATTACATATATGGACTTATTTTTATTGGACAGTGTGGTATTTTAAAATTTTAAAACAGAGGCTGTGGGGAGAAAGAAACACTACTCCACTGCTGGTGGGAGTGTAGATTGGTGAAACCACTGTGGAAATCAGTTTGGATATTCCTCACAAAACTAGGATTAGAACCAGCTATTCCCCTTCTGGGTATTTTCCCAGAAGAATTAAAAAACATCATGCCACAGCGATATATGTGTACCTATGTTTATAGCAGCACAGTTTGTTATAGCTAAATCTTGGAAACAATCCAAATGCCCATCCACTGAGGAATGGATAAAAAAGATGCAGTATTTTTATACGATGGAGTATTACTCAGCTATAAAAAGAGATAAACTTGAGGCTTTTGTAGGTAAATGGATGCAACTAGGGACCATACTCGTAAGTAAAATAAATAGGATCCACATGTGTAAACATCATATTGTCTCCCTGATGCAGGAACCTGAAAGAGTAAGTAAAACTCAAAACATACAAGGGATGATAGGAAAGAGAAAGAAATTGCTCAGAGGAGGGAACAACTGGGATGAGGGAAAGAAGAAAAAGAAAGAAAGAAGGAAGACAAAATATATACATGGAAGGATAACTGGGATAGGTGTACTACTGATGTCTGATAGTATATTGACAGAAAGAGTTAATGCTTAAAAGTTTTTATATTTTGACCAATTATGTATGCTTATATGTGGTAATCTGAACAATGGATTTGAAGACAACAACATGCCATGGAACCACCACTGGTGAATTCCTACCATCCTGTCTAGGGAAACTCTGCATTATCTCTAATGTTTCATTGAATAATTTTTTTATTCTCTTTAATGGTTTGAGCAATCTTCCATTCTTACATCTGATAATCTCAGCAACATAGTTGAAGATAACAATATGTAATATAACAACCACTGTTAATTCCTATCATTTTGTTTTGAAACCCTGTACCACTTTTAATGTTCTTGCTTTGTTTTGTTTATGTCTGTGATGCTGGTATGCTGCTATTGTTCTTTTTTTCTTTTTTACTACTCTCTTTAAAATAAAAAATAAAAATAAAAATAAAAGAGCTGAAATCCTTGGGTCTACCATCACTTAGAACCAGCTATTCTAAAACTCCAAAAGAACAGAGGAAGAAGACTAAATTTTAGAAAATGAGTGTGTTGATGATGAATCTGAGGTACTTGTAGGATGTGCATGTGGAGGTAGCCTGACCTCTGAAGCATAAGTGTAAGTTGGGACTGCAGGTATAGACTTGCAAGTCCTCAGTATGTACTATAGAGTCAAAATAGCAGTAACTCCAGCTGGAATCCTCAGGAAATACCAGCATTAAAAAAGTGATCATAAAGGACTAAAAATGAATATCAGAGAAATAATAGCAATAAGGTTATGGAAACCAAGGGAAGGATGAATTTCAAATAGTGTGTGTTTGGGATGTTCAATTTCAGCACAGTAAGGGACATTAAGGTCCTTTCTTAGGAAAAGAGCTCAGTCTTGGTAAGTTATATTTGATCTTTCCATTTCTCTTGATACTAGAAGCAACTA